TTTCTTCGAAGTTCTTAGAAAATAACATAATTATTCAGGCTTATATTATCGTCTACTTTGTAGCTCACCTAGTCAGAAGGACCAAGTGCTATTCTCGTTACTGGGCGTTCATCGTCCGTCATCGTCGTCGTCGTCGTTGTCGTAGTCCATCGTCGTCCGTTACCTTTTACAAAAAATATTCTCCTTTAAAACTACTGGGCCAAATTAAACCAAACTTTCATCCTTGGGTTATCTAGTTTTGTAAATGTGTCCGATGACCCCGCCTGCCAACCAACATGGCTGACGTGACTTGAAATAGAACATAGGTGTAAAATGTAAGTTTTGATTTGAAGACCGGTATAGATAGAGAAATCTGACATGCAAAATTGTTTAGAATATTGAGATCTACCTACTGTCTATTTACATCAAACTGTCAGACGACTTCTATAGTAGTTATTGTCCTTAAATGACGAAATTAACTTTTTTTTTTTCATTTTTGCCTATAATCTTGAAAATTATATAAAAGAAAGAGAGAAACTTGATAGGCAAAACGATCAGCAAGACAACATCTACAAATAAATTAAATGACCAAAATCGTCAGTCGACTCCTTATTGGAGTAATTGCCCTTTAATGACGACTTGTACCATCTATTTGCCCATTATCTTGAAAACTATAATAGTTAGACCGAAACTTTAAATTGCAAAAATTATCAGCAATATAAGTTCTACAAATAAGTCAAATGTCCCAAATTGTCAGTCGATTCCTAATTGGTGGAGTTCCCTTTAATAGCGATTTTTATCATTTTTTATTGACATTTTTGCCTAATATCTTGAAAATCTATAATAGATAGATAGAAACTTTAATTAACAAAAATGATCAGCAAGACAAGATCTCCAAATAAGTCAAATGGCCGAAATCATCAGTTGACTACATAAAATAGTCCTGGAATTTAAATGATGATTTTACCCATGTTTAGTGTTGTTGCCTATTCTTTTCAATATTAAGATAAAAATCAAAAAAATATCAGCATCCAAGATCTGCAAATATATCAGCATAGATGAATTATCAGTTGTGTTCTTTTATGAGTTTTTTTAAATGAGGATTTTTACCCATATTTTGTATTTTTGGCAAACAAATATAGTAAATAGAGAAACAAGTCATTCAATGGTAAGTAGTGGACCTAGTGACATTTTCAGCCATGTTGATATATTGGTAGATCTTGTCCTGTAGATCACTTTTGCGGTATACAGTTTTTCACTATCTACTATATTTTTGGCCAAAAATGCAAAAATTTGTAATAATAATCGTCGTTTAGGGACAAATACTCAAAAAAAAAGTCAACCGACGAATTCGGGCATTTTGGCAACTTTTGTAAATCTTGTCCTGCTGATCATGTTTGCGAATTACTTTCTACATATTCTAGTTATCAAACTGATCGACAAAAACGCAAATTTTTTTTTTATTAAAAATCGTCATATTGGGACAATAATTTCTATAAGGAACTGACAATTGTTTTCGGCTACTTGACGTCTTAGTAACTCTTGTGTTACTGATAATTTTTTCAATTTAAATTTTCAATCTGTCAAATATAGATTTCAAGATAATGTGCAAACATTTATTTCAAATAGTAAAAATTTACCTTTAAAGACAATAACTATTCTGACAGTTTTAGTGTAAACGGACAGTAAGTAAATCTCAACATTCTGGAAATTTCTGGCCGTTTTCAGATTTTCTTACATACCGGTTTTCAATATAATAGACAAAATTTCATTTTACCCCTATGTTCTATTTTTACCTATGTCGGCCCTGTTGGTTGGTATGCAGGATTGTCGGACAAATTTTTAAATAGATACCCCAATGATGATAGTGGCCAAGTTGGTTCTAATTGACCCAGTTGTTTCAGAGGAGATGCTTTTTGTAAAAGTTAATGGACGACGTAGACCAAATGTTGAAAATAGCTCATATGGGCCTTTGATTCACATAATATAATAAGGATATTTTTCTATTGCAGGGGTTGGTGGCGGCCTCCATAAATCCGCTCAGGCTTTTTATTGAGATCTGATTATCAAACGAAATCTTATTAGTAAACATTGTACAATTTAGAATTGCACTAAGATTGTAAAGTACAAAAGTTGACAATGAAGGCATATGTTTGTTTTCAAGGAATTTATCTTTAACACTTCATGATAAACAAGTGGACGATTACAAACGTCCATTTCTTCCTTAGTCAGTGCATTTTATGTGTCATGGTTATTGGTTGTGTTTATATGTCCTTAAGACTAAATGTAGATAAAGACTGTTTGAACGTGCTGAAGATATAGAAGAATTATGTCTACAACTGGTTTTTTTCTCAAATTGCGTCACTTATGCTTTGTTTACACCAAACTTTACATATATGATACTGGTTTGTAATTGGGTCATTCATGACTGAAGAGAGCTGTTGTGTTCTCATCTGTATACACGATACGAATAATGACATTTATGTAAAATGCGTTATTCCCTCTCCCAAGCCGATACCCTTCAGAAGAGTACATATACTCATAGTCATTGTCATTATTCATTATTTATATTATGCACCGTTTATTCAAAAGCATTTTGAATTCCCCGTATTATTCGGAAGAAAATGTAAAAACCACTACTACCACCAAAAATTACTTAAACAAAATAATTTGGAAAATAAATGCATTTAACACCGCTTGCTTGAGAATATTTTCATTCAGATTCATCAAAATCTTTTGACAAAAACGACCGTGCTTAAACCTCAACAGACAAAACTGTGCAACTGAAAAGGCTAAAAGTCTGACAAGACACAGATATATAAATGTAATATGCATTTTTGTGTTTCGGTAAATTATAATATTTCCATAATTGTATGTGTATTTTTTTTGTCGCTACAGAAGAATGATTTAAAAAAAAACTGAAGTTGGGTAAATTTTTTGCGATGATCCCCTTTGTTTTTATAGTGATTAAGATGATAACACAATGTTGACTGCTGTACCCCTGTTTTTGACATTTTTATCTATTGTGTCTGTTTGTTTTGTTTACGCATCGTTGTCAATATAATGGAATTTGATGCGACTGTCATGCAAGTGAGTGGTCTAGCTAGCTATAAAACCAGGTTCAATCCACCATTTTCTACATAAGAAAATGCCTGTACCAAGTCAGGAATATGACAGTTGTTATCCATTCGTTTGATGTGTTTGAGCTTTTGATTTTGCCATTTGATTATGACTTATATCTAGAAATTGAATTTGAGGGTCGGTTGAAAACAAAACTTTACGACAAAAGAGATGATTTCAGCTTCCCAATTGTGAATTTTCATTTTTAAACCAAGAGTTCCAAATGGTGAAGTTGAAATCATCACTTTGTAAATTTTACGGACGCCATCACGAGTTGGTTTGATCGTTATAGAATATCCGTTTCACAGATGATATCGGATATGTTCCTTATGTCGTAACTACAATCCCGTTCCCTTTTCACGAATGTGACCTACCGAATTAGACTATTAACCCCTATTTGTGACATTTTTACCTATTGTTTTTGTTTGTTTTGTTCACACATCGTTGTCAATATAATGGAATTATATGCGACTGTCATACAAGTGAGAGGTTTAGCTAGCTTTAAAACCAGGTTCAATCCACCATTTTCTACATAAGAAAATGCCTGTACCAATTCAGGAATATGACAGTTGTTATCCATTCGTTTGATGTGTTTGAACTTTTGATTTTGCCATTTGATTGGGGACTTTCCTTTTTGAATTTTCCTCGGAGTTCAGTATTTTTGTGATTTTACTTTTTCCCCTCAGGTAATAATTGTATTGTATTGTATTGATGTGGACTATAATAGCCCAAATAGGTGATTTAATCAACTGCATTATTCAAATGAGAATGTCTCTAGTCGAACTTGATGAAAAAAAAAGTTCAGTATCGACTTAGTATGATATGTCTGAATATTTCTTAAGACTAGTCAGATCAGATTAAGTTATAGTCAAATACAAGATTGAACTGTTCATAACAGTTAAGACACCACTTAACAAAATCCATTAAAAAGCATATTTCTCGAGATTTGTCACATGTATTTCAAACAATATTAAGTACAGAAATAGGTAATTTCGCACTCTCTTTTAATGTCAGAAGTCAGAAAAATTACATCAAACTTTGTTCCTATATGCAGATACTAATCAATGATTTATATCATAAATTTAGCTTTCCTCGTCGTAGCTACTAAGAGGAATTCTAAATCCATATGCTCATGTTTTCTTTTTCTAAATCCATATTTTCATGTTTTCTTTTTTCTAAATTCATATGCTCATGTTTTCTTTTCATATTAAATTTTTAAAAACACAGAAGCTCGAGTTTGAGGCCCAATCCATCGTTATCGCAAAATGACGATACCAGTCTAACATATCCTGAAACTTCAATGAATCCCTTGAATTTGAAGTATATTTATTTATCTATGGGATTAAGATGATATTATAGTCTGGATGTTACTTTCCTTTTTGACCTTCTTTTCTTGTTGATATTTATTGTAAAAAGTCATAAAAACTGAAAGTATATTATGGAGATTTGATGGCTTTGATAATATCACAACTTAGTATAGAGGAATTGTCTCAGCTTAAAAAAACACATAAAAAACAAATTACGGAAATAATGTGAAATGCTGCTTTATTGTTTTGTTTGTTTGTTTGTTTGATTGTTTTTTGTTGTTTTTTTTTTTTTGGCTTTCAGTAAATTTCTCTTAATTTGATTTTTTATTCGTTCTTTTGCCTTTTGTTTAGCCATTTTCACTTAAGCATTTACCCAAAAATAAATTATTTTTTTTCGTTTCAATTTTCACGACGCCTGTTGTGTAGAAGAAATGGAAGCGAAAGATATCATTGGGAAATCCAAAACTTTAAAGTCGAAGAAAAGCTGACAACGCCATGACAAAACCCAAAAAGACGACGAAAAGACGAACAAATCCACTAACACTACATAGAAAACTATAGATTGAACAACACGAAACACACAAAAAATCGGGGATGAAATCAGGTGCTCCGGACGGGTAAGAAGTTTCTACTCCAAATGTGACACCCGTCATGCAAGTATAAATCCAGTGTGGTACGTCTCATTCGTTGAAGTTATAATCGACAAACTTTTATGTGTTTTACTGTTAACTATTATTTTAGAAAAAGACAAAAACGGACATTAATTAAAAAAACCTATTAACGTCATTGTTATTTCATATTATACCCTGCTTCACCAAATATTTTAGTTCTTATTCTTATTTTGAATATTTTGAAGAGAAAATATTTAATGGTTGAACTCGTTCTATATACCATTTACCTTATCAGAAGATGATGTTGGTGGTTGCTAAAATATTAAAAAGACGCAGTACTCGAAAGTTAAATAAAGAGACGCTGGGCTGGTCTTTTAAAAGACTAAAAGCATATACTTTAATGTGTTTTTGACAAAAAATGAATTGAAGTGTCACTTTACGAAATATTTCAGTTCATTTTCATCTTTTTGCAATGTTTGGGAAATTGAAACATTATTCAATGATTGAATTCTTTCGATTTGCCAGTACCTTAACATATTATTATGTTAATGATGCTGGATTTGTTAAAATTAAAAATTAAAAACGCAAGTGCTCTAAAGTTAGTGAAGCGGTTATCAATATTGTACTAGTATATATTTTGCATCATTTTTTACATTTATTATCACATCGAATTGTTTATAACTGAAACAAAATTTCTAATTGATAAGAAAGTTTTTGTAAGAATTCTTATCACGAGGTGTACACAGACACAATGGCGATGTCGAAAGTATTTTTCTTACTAAATGTACTTTGCTTTTGTTCAATTTGTGCGCTCACTGAGATAGAAAACGCAATTTTATCCATATATACAAATGATGATAACCTAAACGACAGCCTTTTAAAACTCAAAGATGCCAAACCAGAAGACTTGCCTCTTTCTCTAAGGCAGCTCGTAAGAAGAACTGGATATGGGTGAGTTACTTTTTTCTTATGTACTGAGTTTCAAATTTTATGTAAGCTAATTTCTTATTAATGAGTCATTTAGCACCTGAGTTCACCCCTAGTTTTCAAAGGTTATAGGGGTTTTGTGTTTTTTTTTAATTTTTTTGCTGTAGATTTCCGTGTTGTATTTGTGCTATATTGTGTTTCAATGTCTGTATTGCTTGTATTGGTAACAGTTTTGTGCTTTTGCCTAGAAAAGTGTTTCCCTTTCAAACCTTCATACTTCTTTATGTCTTATGGTTAGAAATTTACAAGCAGCTATGGTTTCTAAATTTGGTTGTGTCTAATATTTAGACAAAATCTTGTATTAATCCGCTATAGGGTAATCTGTGGATTTTAACACGAGTAGCACGACGGATGTCACTAGTGGAGCAGGAATATGCTGGCATGAATTATCATTAATATAGTAATTTTCTGTAAACTTACTGTTCATAAACTTTTAAAATCATTCGAAACACTTAGATATTTCCACCTCCAGGCATATTTATTGGGTTTTACAACCACTTGGTCGATGCCACTGCTGGTGGACATTTATTCATGAGTATATCACCAACCCAGTTTTCATTTTCGGTAAACTCAGTATCCATAAATGTAAATATCATTCGAAAACAAAAGATTTTTTTTGTATTCCAGGCATTAACGGAATAAGTCAGATTTAGCACAACTTTTTTTTTAATTTTGGTTTTCAATGCTCGTCAATATCGTTATTGGTTTGTTTTTCTCGAGTTTTTTTTTTCGAGCGCTACTTATGGGTCTTATGTAGACAAAACGCGTTTCTGGAATACTAAATAATAATCCTGGTATCTTTGGTGATTATTACAGATTAGCCAGCCACAATAATAGCGTTTATGTCTTATATTAGAGATAAAGTCTTTTCAACTGTAGGGATTTAAAATACTCAACATGCATTAACATTTTGATATATTCTGTACTCTATAGGCTAAATCATATCAGATGAATTTTGAAAAAAAATCATATTTACGGTAACGAAATTTGCCTTGTATGCGAATGACGGCAAATACACACTATCCTCTAAATTTACATGTTATATTGTAGATCGATCAAACATCACGTAATAAACAACAATTGACTAGTTACGTTAACCTACTAAACTAATTTTATTATGTGGTTAATATCATCTTAAAAAAAAACCTTGGTATATCTGAAATTTTAATATCGCAAACAATCTTTGGGTGTTTCCTTTGATTTACTATTGTTATTGTGTTGTATCCACATTGTACTTTACCAATCATCTCGTATTCATATCGAACATATGTTTACTCTTATTCACCAGACATTAAGAACAGAGAATAAAAAAACGTATTGAGTATACTCAAATATCACAATTTCTATATATATATATATATCAACGTAGGGGGAATAAAAATCAGTGTTTGCATATGATTATTCAATGATAAGGAAAATATACATGCTTCTGTTAATTTCTGGAGTTTAAAACTCTTCATTCCTCTGATTGTTTTGACATCGTGTAAAATTCAGTAAAAATAGCACCGGACCTCTACCCTTTCTCCACATCTAACCACCCCTCCTGTTATTTTGAACAGCTTCTGGATCTGAAAAACGGTATAGCTTATTAAACCAAATTGCTTCAGTTAATGCACCCTTCAGTTAAAACAATTTATTTAGATTACCTGATTACTAGGTGAAATTTGTTATTTATAATCATGATAGTTGATAAGATGGAAGTTTCAATTATTAAATCGACAGCCATTTTGAGATAATCAAGTAAACAGTACATCATTGCATTTTGTATTGTATTTTCCACCAAAGTTTTTTTTTAAATTAAGAAAAGTTGAAAAGTTTGGAAGTAAACATCCTAAAATTTTTTTTAAAAAACTTAATTATTTTTATGTGTTCGGAGCGCTTTTCTGGATTCACCTTCATCACATATGCTCAAGCACAAATTATAAAAGTCAAGAATGTATAAGTACACAAACGCATGAAGAGCCGTATGACCAAAAGTGATCTATCCCATTTAAGGTAAACTTTGCCTTAGGAAGATGGAACCTTACTTTTTATTATCAATTTCTAAATTTGTCAACGTCAAATTTACTAAAGATATGTTTTAAATCATGGTCAGTGGCAAATGACTGATTACTGATACCCTCTGTGACTAGCAGTCCACTAGCAGCAGTATCGATCCAAATGCTAGAAAATCAAAATAGTACTTAATCATTTTGATGCGTCCGAAGCGCCTCTCTGGATGTATGCAAATCAGGCACGCTCAAATATTGTTTACACTAATTTACTTTATTACACACTTTATTAAAAATGGTTAAAACTGAATTTAGAATTAAAAAATATATAGAATTCACGAAAATTTTGGATCCTCACTAAAAAGATCGAAGGAACAATAATTATATAATAAATTTTTAAACAAAATTAATCCACGTATTTTGAAATGAATACATATGCCGTTGTAACATTTTGCAATTAATAGATTAATATTAGCTAATATAATATGTCACAAATTTAGAAACATTTTGAGTCAACGTGGTCAGTTATGTTTCCACTACAAGCCCCTGATGATAAATAATGCATTATCGATCCATAATGAAACATGCAACTTTCGAAGTAGACATGTATGCGCCATCGTCTTCATGTATGATTAATGAAAATAACATTTCAAAAATTGGAAGCGTTCAATACGTTGTTCTGGATTTACCTTCATCATAAATGCTAATATCCCAACAATTTGAAAGCCAAGATTGTATAAAATAGAGGTGAAAGATATCAAAAGGGACATTCAACTCATAAGTCGAAAAAAAGAAAAAGACCAACAGACAAGAAACAGTACACAAAACACAACATAGAAAACTAAACACTGAAAAACAAGAACCCCACCTTAAACTGGGAGTGATCTAAGTGATAAATACTTGAATACTTAAAATATATGACCAAAGGGAATAAAAAGAATAGCCAAATCCATTTAAGGTCAACTTTGCGTAATTGGAGTTGGAACCTTAGATTCTTAATATTTTCTTAATTTATCAACTGAGAATTTCAAAAAGGTTTGTTATTAATCATGTCAGCACCGAATCGCTGACCCCTAAGCTGAGTATACCCTCGTTTACTAACAATTAAGCAGCAGCGTTATCGACCAATTTGAAGAAACAGAAATAGCGTTTAATAATTTTGATGCATCTGTGGCGTTTTTTTTTTTCTGGATTTACCAATATCAGGAACGCTCAAACCACAAAATTCAAAAGCCAATCATGTATAGTAAGTGAGTATGAGCGATATAATCAAAATGGACGTAAAAAGAGTAGCCCTATCTTCTTACGGTCAACTTTGCATGAGGGCGTTGGGTCCTTAGTTTCTAAATGATTTCTAACATCTACTGAAGACTTAAGAAAGATCTGTTATAATCAATGTCGGAAAGACAAAACTATGAAATTCAAAATACTGAGGATTTTCTACCCAAGAAATATTTTACCTTAGCTGTATTTGGCAAAACTTTCCGGAATTTCGGGTCCTTGGTGCTGTTCAACTTCGTACTTTATTTGGCCTTTTTAATTTTTTTGATTCCAACTTCACTGATGAATAAATAAAGGCAACAGTAGTATACCGGTGTTCAAAAGTCATAAATCGGTTGAGAGAAAACAAATCCGGGTTACAAACTAAAACCGAGGGAAACACATCAACTATAAGGTGTAAACAAATGAACAACAGGAACACTGAAGTGCAACAATAATAAACGCCAACATACATAGAAACGAACTATTTGATAACAACTGCCATATTCCTGACTTGGTACAGGACATTTTAAGAAAAAATGGTCGGTTGAACTGGTTTAATGATGAGTCTTTTGTAGACGAAACGCACGTCTGGCGTACAAAATTTTAATCCTGGTATCTATGATGAGTTTAATATCGGACAGTACCAACATTAAGTTATCTAATATGATTGTTTCTTAATAAAACATTTACTTTTAGAAATACTTATTGAGACATAAACGAGTATTTTTGCTCAAGTCTTAATTTGATAAAAGAAGAAAATTTAATAAACTAGTACACGACTGTCAATCTGTAAATCGAGAATCATTATCGTGAAGTAATAACAATTGTCAAGTATTGCGATAGTGAAGGAAATCTTATCGAGTTGTAACATTTAAGGTCTACACATCACTTATATCTAAAAGATAAATTTCCTTGTTGATTTTTGTAAAATAAAGAGGGAGAAACTTTGTTATGAACAAATTTTGAGAAATATTTTTTGTGGATTAGAAAGTCAATGGAAAATGATAATAAAGTATAATATGCTGTTCGAAATTGATTCCGGTTTAGACCTACAACATGTTAAAAATAGAGAAAAATTTGGTGAAAACGTAATTTTTATTCTAAAAATAACAAATTATGATTTCCATTTTTATGTGCTAAGATATCAACTACAGTTTATATTTAGGTATGATACTGAATTTTAAATTGATTCCAAGTGTTATATTTTATAAATAAGTCACAAATGTAAAGAAGTCTTCCCCTGTTCTAAGATTTGAACAAATTGAATCAGTATTAAACTGTTCTTAATTGATTAGTTGTAAAAACTGGGCGCTGCGTATCTGAAGTTTATTCCAAAAACAAATGTTTACGTACTGTAATCGAAATCGCAGGTTTATTTAAAACGATCCCTAAACTTCTTTAATTGAATAACGGCTCTTTCGGAGGTTTAATATCGTTCGAGGTATGGCATTACGTGTTATGGGAAAATATAACGTAACGAAAAAATTATTTCATATTTTCAGACTGTACAATGTGCGGATTAAAATAGACCTCTTCCGGGTACATTTCAACAAATATGCAAAAATCATTTTATTTACAGAGAACACATGTGCTGCAGAAACAAACCTGTTGGACTCATTACAAAAACAAGATCAGCAAAAAGAGTGACCAATGTGAAAGAGGAGGTTAAGGTGTCTTCTGGTAGTTGTGGACTTTTCGGTACTGGTACTTGCAACAAATACGATTATAAATATCAGTATGTAATAATATATATTCTTGTTTCGGCGCTGGTACTTGCAATAAACACGATTTTAAATACCAGTATGTAGTATTATTGCAAATAAAAAATCATTTTTATATTAGTCCTAATGCTGTCTTCTTTACATTCAACAATTTAGGATCATCGGACGTCAATTCCGTATGAACACTCCTTTGTGACGTCGAAAATCAAACCTTTTCTTTTGGTTGAAGCATGTCTTATTTTCGCAAAAGATGTGTTTCTCGTATCTTACCGATTCGAGTTTGATATCAATAAGTGTGATACCACAAAATAGTTCAATTAGTTTGCCCGCAATGATATACGAGATTTCGACATTTCCGTTGGCTTTTTGTTAGGTCAAAGATCTGCCTCGACAACTTTTCCTCATTAGCAACGGTTTGTTTATTTTTGTGATGTCCCCTGTATTATTATTTACTCGATCAATATTTTCATTGGCTATTCGCAAAGGTCATAATACCTGCCGGATTGCCATGAGTCTGTTTACCTAAAACATTATTCCACAGGCACGACTTAGCAATTGCATTAAGATATAAATAACAATAATATTGTTTGATAGATGCAGACATCATTCTTATATTTTACATGCTCAAATATCCGTTGCTATAAAATACAACAGTAAAGCCTACGATTGGCGTCTACTAATATACAAACAAAAAACAACTGTTCCTTAGTTAAAGTCCGCTTATTGTGTGCTGGCTTCCATTTCTATGCTGTAATATTATTTTCCAGTGAAGTTATAACATACGTCACAGAATACTACAAGGATATCAACTACTTGGGTTGTCCAGACAGACATGTAGTGTGTTGCAATTATTATATCATGGTATCCAAAAAATGCGTCTGTGAGTAATAAGAAGCTTAATATGCATGTTTATTTGTGAAATAAAGAACTGGTACCATCATAGACCACAAAACTACTAACACAAATCATAATGCAAGTATAGAAAAAGCGTCATGTTCCTAGGGTATTTAGTTTAGTTTCATGCGTGTTATGGACCCTTCAATTCCGTTGACATTTATGACATTTCGGCTCTCTACACTTCCACACACGATTATCAAACAGAAGTTTTCTTATTATCAAATGGTTCCTCTAAAAAACTAATAGCAATAATAGTTGCAGCAAAGTATTCTTCGTTAACGTAAAAGATAAAGATGCAAGATATACTCAATGGAATGAGAATTAGATTATTAAAGCTGTTAATAGCATACTGATTTGGTATGAATCCCAGTTTATGACTAAACTCAATAAAGATCCATCTAAATTCCATTCAATTGTGAATGTATAACACTTACAATGTACTGTTACCTTGATGATGTTTTTGCGTTAATAATCAAGAATTCTCTTTACCGCAGAATTTCACCCTGGAGAACTGACTTTAAGCTTGTATATATGGATCAGCAAGACATTTCTTTTGATGATTTGGATATTTCTATTCCAAAGGGGAATTTGACAAAACAGTCGAATTTTTAACTGTACTTTCCAATTGTTCTTTTTTTCTTTTTCGACGGTGATGTTCCTTTTGGCCTTCTTACTGTGAGTTTATTTCTAGCCCGTTCGTGTCCTAAGCAAGGAGCCTGTGTTTCTGTTGTTGTTTGTTTGTTGCCGTTTGTCTTAATTGTTTTTGTTTTTGTTCATTGTTATGAGTATATATCAGGCCATTTGTTTTCTATTTGGAATTGATTCACATTTGTTATTCCGGTGCCTTTTATACCTTATCTTACGGTATCGGCTTTGCTCATTGTTGAAGGTCGTACATTGACCTGCAATTGTTTACATCCGTAAGCTTGTCATTTGGTCTTTGATAGACTAATTGGCAATCATACAACATCTCTATTTTTGATCAATAGAATATATCGTAATAAACATAAGCAATATGGTTCAGTTACCTTTAGAAACTAAGGTTCAAACTCCATCAGGTAAAGTTGACCTTAGATGAATTTGATTATTATTCTTATGTCCCTTTTGGTCATATGGATCTTGACATGTTTCGATTCTATACATTATTGGCTTTTTGGGGGCGTACTTGATGAAGGTTCATACAGAAAAGCATTTCGGACGCATTAAATTTATAAAGTGTTATTTTCAATTTTTTTGTAATTGTTTCACAACTTAATAAAGTTTACTTATTCAGCCAAACAAGCACCTACTATTTAAAAAAAGGGTTCTATTGTGCTACTCTTTTATCAGCAAAACATGAACACATCTGTTATATATCAGAAGACGAGAAAAAAAATGTAAATGGTCGATACTAATGAAAATTAAAACTATAACAAATGAGATGATTTTACTTTCCAGAGAGTGAATTTCCGGGTTTTTTTTTAGTAGCAATATACAACCGTCGCCTACGTGAACATGTTACAACTGGTTCACTCCTTATGATCTTGTGTTGACACAATGTCCCAAAAATTGCTAAGTTAATGTTTAGTCTATACTAATATTGCTGCAAAAATACGTTAGTTTTTATTGCCAATTGGTCCGTACATCTAGCTCGTTTTTTTTTTTCAACTGGCTCCTTCTTTTGTTTTTTATTTACTTTTCCTTGAAGAATTTGCGAGAATCCCATTATATTTTGAACTAAGAGTCTTTGTATTAAGTTACAGTTTAAACAAAACTATATATTGAATTGAAGTTCTATCTTGTAATTTTAAATTTGGATCATCAGTAATCATTACGAAATATTTTGAATTTTCAATTTTGGAATTTGAGGATATTGTGACCCCGCAATTATTTGGTTTTTCAACATTTAAATGAACATTATAGATTAAATGTTATTTTTATTCTACCATTTTGTCTAATATGACTGCATGTCCTGTTACTTTTTAGACTATTGGTTATAATAATGGGTTTCAGTTTCCATGACGTTGCTGTCTGTTTAACTCATGTCACACAATTATTCAAATTTTATGGTAAATAAAGGCAATAGTAGTATACCCTGTTCAATAGTCATAAATCGATTTAACTGAAACAAATCCGGGTCACAAACCAAAACCGAGGGAAACACGTCAATTATAATAGGAAAACAACGGAACAACATATACACTGAACTGCTACAAAAACAAACGCCAACATACATAGAAACGGACTATTTGATAACAACTGCTATATTCCTGACTTGGTACAGGACATATCATAAATGACAAGAATTACTTATATTGTATATTCTGTGTAAAAAAACATATTCCATGTATCATCGTGTTCTCTTTATTTATGTATTCATTCAATTATTCCAGATTTGGATGATTTACATGCCATCGCTCAACATATGATTGGGTAGAGTATAATGGATAGGAGAAAACACGTGCAGATAGATATATTGAATAAACTTGCGCAAATAGGACAAAAAGTCATGATTGGCTATTCTTGATTTTATAGCGCTCTAATTTTTATGTTTTTGTTTTGAATGTTTGGATGTTTTGGTGCTTTTTTTTTCTTTTGTAGTTCGACTGTGGTACCTTTTTAATCCAAAAAAAAATAGTATTACATCATTTTATTAAAGAACAAAAATGCCTTATATTTTTATAGTGAACTTTCCATATATATGTGCAAATAATTCCACAGAACCTGCATATCGCATATATTCATCTATCCCGGTCTGTTGATATGGAATTCAACTTTTTAAATTTTTAATTGCACGTCCATGAAATTTAAATCAAAATATAGAGTTTTGAAAATGACCCTACATATAAACTTGATTGCAAGTGGTTATTTTGTCACAGCCATCAAAACATTATTGGAGATTTTTTCTCATTAGCATACAATAATAAAAGTTTACGTTCTAGTACCAATATTAATTCTTTTTTGACAGAAATAAGTTACAAATAACAAAATCAAATCAATTTATCGTAAACGTTTTGGAATGCGTACATGGTGAATCAAATCAACCTTAGCTTTGAAATGAAAACTATTTGAGATTTGAAGTTTACATGACAAACATATATCAAGAAAGTAAGTACGTAAGTACGTAAGTAAATTATTTATTATACTAACATCTGAAATGTGAACAAATAATAACGATATAGTATACGAGGAGTCAGAATACACCCGGCTCAAGAGACCTTTAAGTCACCTTGAATAATATTAAATATGTTCAAATTTCAACGTTCAAATACCTTGAATACGACACATTCAGATCATCATACTAATGTCAATAGGAATAATCTTCGTACTCGTCCGTGTTCAGTTCTTCTACAAGACATTTTGGACTTTCATGACTCTGAACAACATTGTCTTATTTCAAAATGTAAAACCAAAAACTGCGGATTACACAGATTACAGTGTAACCTTTGTGGGTTAGTATGTGTCGGTGAAACGAAATGAAGGCTTAATAAACGTATTTGCGGCAATATATCAGATATTATCAGCATTTTAATCAGTCTTATCATTCAATCCTTTCTATGCGAGTTCGCATAATCGAAAAAAAATATATCACAGGACTAACAATCATCAGCTTGCAAAACCTGTCCGTTTACAGAAGGAAGACTACTGGATTCGACTATTGGGAGCTGGGACACCATATGGGTACAATAATAAAATTGATGGTAAAGGTGTTCTGTATTGTCCTTCCTGTAGCTTGGCGAATGTGAACATTTTCAACTCTGCTCGTAGACGCAGTCATGATCATCGTCATCGTCATTATACATCACCTACTCTCCATGATGTCTCTAACAATGCCTTTCTGCCATTTATACAAAAGATATTCATCACATTTGCACGAAACTTTATTCACTACTCTTTCAAAACTTCATACTCTGTACAACTTATGTTTGGAAACCTCTGTAACCTCCCCCCCCCCCCCCCCCCTGTTCCTCTCTTACTCAAACCGATACAAACTTATAGCTATCATCTGGGATATTGCTAGTAGTTACAGACTTTTAATACCAGTCCGCTTTGGAAAAGATGAAAAGGGAAAAAACCTTCCTAAAACTTTCCTTTGCCAACAAAGGTCTCGATGCCATTAACTTAGACAATATCCTTCATTATGAATCAGTTCACTCGAAAATAGCTCATTTCTTTAAAAATCTTTAGTATGCACCTATTATTTTAAAACATACCAAACCAATTGCAACTAAAATTTTCTATTACAAATACCTGTTACAAGATCTCAATATTGACGACTTCAAGTCTAAACCTGCTTATTGCACCTGTGCTAGTTCCCCATTCATATATAATGTGGCTGGTCACGTTATTACAGATGACCTGAGCATTGTCAATAACAATTCTCTGTGAAATGTGTTATCCAAAGCCCCGAAACATCGTGAGCCTAAATCCCTCGATGGAAACACAACTTCAAAATGATGATGGATTCAGTCGAGAATTATGCCAGGCAATGGACTAAACGAACTGGTTAATGCTGTGAGGTCGTTTATACAAATTAGAATGTATCTATGAATACATATGCTACATCGAATTTTAAAGACCCATGTGTTGCACATTACATAAACAGCTTAATAAATGTAATATGTATTGACAATTCACTTGGAAATTCAACATATACACCCAATACACTTCGAATTTCAACCAAGTGATCCACGAAACCTCTTTCTAAATTATTTACATCAATTTTATCAGCAGTCAAAGCCAGACTTCAAAGTTATTGTGAAACTACCTTTTCTAGTGGTGGCGTGAATCAGATGTGAATACTAAAATATTCCAAAGATCTTTAAGAGTACATACAATCTAAGACTCTATTATCCTGCAATAGTATTAAAACATTTGACTTTTTCTACACTATACACAAGTATTTCCCATTCCAAACTAAAAGACAAATTGGCAGAATTGGTCCTGCTTTGTCTAAAAAAAGAATAGCTAACGTAGCTACAAGTATCTTTTCTTAGGGAGGGATAAATCGCACTTTGTAAAAAATCACACTGATTCAAACAAAACATTCTCTGAAACTAACATTATCAAGATGCTTGATTTCTTGATTGACAACATATTTGATACGTTTGGAGGACATGTCTTTCAACAAACAATCGGGATTCCTATTTGAACCAACTGTGCTTTTCTTCTTGTAGACTTGTTCCTTTATTCATATGAGGCTGACTTCATACATGAACTTCTTGGGAAGAAAGAAAAGAAGTTAGCTGTATCCTTTAACTTCACTTTCCGCTATATAGAAGATGTTCTTTCACTAACTAATTCAAAATTTGGTGACTATGTTGAACGCATCTATCCCATCGAGCTTTAAATAAAGGATACAACAGATACAGTTAAGTCTGTCTCATTTCTTGACTTACATCTAGAAATTGACAATGAGGGTCAGTTGAAACAAAACTTTACGACAAAAGAAATGATTTCAGCTTCCCAACGGTGAACTTTCCATTTCTAAGTAGCAACATTCCAGCAGCGCCTGAATACGGAGTATATATCTCCCAGTTGATACGATATTCCAGGGCTTGTATTTAGAGGGTTGCTGCTCACAAGGAAGCTATTACACCTAGAGTTCCAAATGGAGAAGTTGAAATCATTCCTTTTAAAATTTTACGGACGCCATCACTAGTTGGTTCACCGTTATGGAATATCTGTTTTACAGATGACAACGGATATGTTCCAATTGTCGTAACTACAATCTCCTTTTCCCCGAATGTGACCTACCGAATTAGACTTATCACCGGGTTTGTACTAACATGAGCAACACAACGGGCGCCACATGTGGAGTTGTTCTTTTTGTTTTTTTAATTTTTAAATGGTTGTGGTGATTATACCGGTAACAGTCTCGTCTATCCTTTGTCATGAAAAACCTGTTACAATTTCAAAATTTCAAGTTCGGTGAAGTGTCAGGGTTCGAAATTTTACATGACCGATGGTCTAGAATTTGGTGATGTCTTAGGGTTAGATAAGAGTCAATTACCAATCCGCTATTGCGTGATGTCTAATCATTTTATTTAACTTATCAACGTATTGTATAGGAGTAACACGACGGGTGTCACATGTGGAGCAGGATCTTCTGACCCTTTCGGGTCACCTGAGATCACCCACAATTTTTGGTGGGGTTCGTGTTGCTCAGATTTTAGTTTTCTATGTTGTGTTTTTTGAACTATTGTTTGTCTGTTGGTCTTTTTCTTTCTAAGCCATGGCGTTGTCAGTTTATTTTCGACTTTTGAATGTTCCTTTTCGTATCTTTCGCCTCTCTTTTACATAAGTATCCTTACAAACAAGATGTATTGCAGGGTTTTTCAAGTGCTCCACGAAACCTCTTTCTAGATTATTATCAGTAATTTTATCAGTATTCAAAGTCGGGCTTCAAAGTTACAAAGATCTGTTACAGTACATATAATCTCAGTCTTTTCTTCTTCAAAAGTATTAAAACATAAGACTTTTCTACCAATTACACAAGTATTCTCAATTCCAAACTAACAAACAAATTGACAGAATTGGTTCTGCTTTTTTTCATAAAAATTTATGGCCATCGTAGATACAAGTATCTTGTCGTAGGGAGAGATACATCGTTCTTTCTAAAAAAAATCACACTGATGCAAACAAAGCATTCTATGAAACTGATATTATCAAGTTTCTTGATTTATTGATTGACAAAATATTTGTTATGCTTGGAAGACGTGTTTTTCTACAAACAATCGCCATTCCCATGGGAACCAACTGTGCTCCTCTTCTTGTCGACTTGTTCCTTTATTCATATGAGGCTGACTTCATACAGGAACTTCTAATGAAGAAAGAAAAGAAGCTAACATTATCCTTTAACTTCACTTTCCGCTATAAATATGATGTCATCTGACTAAATAATAAAATATTGACGACTATCTTGAACACATCTATCCCATTTAACTTGAAATAAAGAATACAACAGATACAGTTAAGTCTGCCTCATATCTTGACTTTCATCTACAAATTGACAATGAGAGTTGGTTGAGAACAAAACTTGACGACAAAAGAGATGATTTCAGCTTCCCAATTGTGATCTTTCCATTTCTATGTAGCAACATTCCAGCAGCGCTCACATATGGAGTATTCATCTTACCTCCTTTACATTTCTAGGGATATGATTGGTTAAAACCAACCGCGTGGAGACCTGTATACTTCATATGGGGTTAGTAGGCGTGGTTTATTTCAATACACGGTTAGTAGTGTTGTTACGTCCTTTTGTAAAAACAACACGGTGTTGAGGAAAAATCTGAAAGGTTTCAACAGTCGAAGAAATTGATGATGAACGATTGAAATAAAATCAGAAAACACATTAAACCAGGAGTTCCAAGTGATAAAATTGAAATCATCCATTTGAAAATTTTACGGACGCCATCACGAGTTGTTCGACAGTTAGGGAATATCTGTTTCATAGATGACGACGGATATTCTCCAATTGTCGTAATCACCATCCCGTCCTCTTTCCTCTAAGGTGACCGACATAATTAGACTGATCATCGGGTTTGTATTTTCATGAACGGCACGAAGGATGCCACATCTGGAGTAGGATCTGCTTTCCCTTCCGGATCATCTGAGATCACCTTCAGTTTTAAAGGGGTTCGTGTTGCTCAGTCTTTTAGTTTTCTGTGTTGTGATTTGTATACTGTTGTTTGTCTTTTGGTCGTTTTTCGTTTTTTGCTGGCGTTCTCAGTTTGTTATTGACTACTTAGTTTGAATGTCCATTTGGTATCAATCGTCTCTCTTTTGCAATAACAAATTATTCATAGATTTATGTTACTGTTAATTAAAGTTCATTTTTAGAATTTTCAGGTATGATGTTCTCCATGAAAAATTTATCTTATTTGGTACTGTCCATAAATAAGAATTTAGGGATTTTTTGCGTCTTGGTCAAAAGCTTTAGCAGATACAGAGAACATGTAAACAGGAAAAATATGACAGGAACAGTAACCCAGTCAATAAAAAAAATCAATATACTAGTGCATCCAAAATCGTCAACTTTGAAATTTAACACAATTATACATGCGCATTTAAGCTATTGATAGAGACTGCCATGATGTAAAGCATACGATTTCCAACAAATTTGTAGGCATCGGATTACCGTAAATCCGTAAAATAGTATGGGCCTCAAACTTTTTCAAAGGTAACACCTACCTCATATCATATTAACAATTTGTCTAGACTGCGGATGCTTTACAACATAGCTGCTTAGAAATTTTTCTTTCAGGTATATTTTTTTTCAAATATACAACCCCCCCCCACCCCCTTTTCCAATAAAACACTCCGGGAACGTCCTTTATCTGTTCATGCATAGTAAACCCTGTCATATCAAAGGCTTATTCACTAAGTAAACACTGTGTAACATAAGTTGAGAACGTGCATGAAAGCTGTTGAAACTTTATTATCGTGAAAAACATTATGTCTATCCCAAGACAAGGCCGGCATCGATTAATTTTTGAAGTTCAGGCGAGTTTGCTGTTCCACTTTCTGAAACAAATAAACAAAAATATCAAAATAAAGACAAAGATTCTTTAAAATGTAATTTTAGTAGTTTCTTTTTATGTAATTCTTTAAAAAAAATCTTTTTATTCACTTCATTTAATTTTCATATGCTCTAGAAGGAAGTTGAAATAGTAGAATGGTCGATTTGGACTGTATACAATGGTCCTGTAAACTGGCCTTCAACAACATGACGGCGAGAACACTTCCTGTTACATGATCTCGTGTGAAAATGCGAAAAAAGTTTTTAAAAAAATGAATATATAATGATCCGTTCTTTGCATAGAATAATGTTTTTAAAACATCACACATAGCTATATCGAATAGTAAAAATTGGATTGAGCGGGAGGTGAGTCAGTACTTGATTAGCCATGTGACATTGCGCCTGACCAGTGAAACAAGATAACCTTTGTGAGCTCATCGGGTAGCACCTGCCTTATATTATAGTATAATTATATCACCATATTGACTTAATCATCCTACGTATTGCTCATTGCTTTTGATTTGTCTAGTATGTGTAAAGTTTAGATTTTGACCCCTTTTTGTGCAACAGATTCAGTTTATTATACTAGATATTTTCCTTTTTTGTAAACCCTTAAGGTAACTGGGTACAAATACGCTTCATTCGTTCAGTAATAAGATTCGTGAGTGGGGGACATTCGTTTTGTGAGCAGGATGTATAAATACGCAGTCCCCGTCAGTTGAATTTTGGATGTGATAAATCCGATACGCATTGTTGAGATCGAGACAACCACGCTCTCTGCAAGTTGAAAGAACCATTGAAAAACACATTCAGGTATCCGGTTGAGATCTGTTCCAAGAGAAGATATATGTTCGCATATATAATTCTCCCTTTATTAAGTAGCATTAAAAATTTCACGACACCCAGCTCGGTCGACCCATTTTGCAGTAGTTACTATTTTAAGCTATGTTTATATTGTTCTCGTCCTGAATATGCATGAGATGTTTGCTAATGAAAATTAAGCAAATAATAATCAATCTGTTTTTGTTGAGTTTTTATGCTGAATTAAATTAATTTGTAAATATATTATTAGATTTTGTTTTGTAGGATATGAGCCTCAAATACATTTTTTTTTTCCAATTATCAATTACTTACCAATGCACTGATCATTCAGCTTCTGAAAGCCTTCACAACACACTGTGTGTTCTGGAGGGCAAACACCTTGCTGTGGAATGGAAACGGTTACATTCGTAGGCACAAGTTCCTCAACAGTTCTATGAAATATACAAAAACAGAATATTTACATAAATATATATATATATATATTTCAACCATCAACACATTATCTTGAAATTATTTTTGTTTTCAGTTAGAGTCAAAGAGCTTGAAAACAAATGAAGTGTTAATTGCAAGCGATAGCTCATACTGGTAAATATTTTAAATAATCTCCCGAACAAAAGATGTACATCAACATCAGATGATGCAAACAAAACTACAATTACCAAAGGTATACAAAAAAATAAAGCTGGGAACACCGTAGAAAGTATTATGAGATTTAACAATTTGATAGGTGTAGATGTATGTGCTGATATCAATTTCGGGGAGGGGGCAGTGTTTTTTTTATTTATTTATTTATTTTACCAATGTGTGCAACCAGTATGCTAAATAGATTTTTGGCGGAGGGGGTAAAAAGATGAAATGTCTGCATTAAAAATTAAAAAAAAAGTATTATTTCTTTTAAAATACAATGCGCACATATTTCTGTTATATACCTCAATCCAACTTTTCTAATGATGGACAACCCGCTAACAATTTTGAAAACAAGAAAACCAAACATTGCCTTAGCAGTAAACATCTATGTTTCTGGTACAAACACCCTTCTTTTGAAATATGTTGTATAGTAATAAAATTTAAACGAATCCCAAAACTTGAATTCATTGATGGCCTTTGCGTGTTTTAAAACATTCCATAGCATATTGTTCAACAGCATAAAGTCTACTTACAATTTAATTGGTTTTTTAACACGACAAACAGGTATGAGGTGAACATATCTATCATAAGCATCTGGTGTCTCATCAGAATGGCAGGGCCTTGTCATATTTGTTCCGATTTCTCTTATTATGGTCTTATTTATCTTAATATATTTGATTTCAGTTATGTTGGTGTATGTTGTCGGCTTGTCTACATCACAACACCAGTGAGACCTAAAGAATACCAGTTGCATGTTACATGTATGACCTGTCCTCTTTTTCTGTTATAAATATTCATTTTTATATAAGTACTAGTATATAAATATTTACCACAACAAACTAGCATAAACATGATACACGTAAGGATTGCAGTTTAAATTTAATAAGTTTAAAGAATGAAACAATAATTGTGTGATGCTTACCTCTATTAACATTTATGCTAGGCCTGCAAATTTATAAGCAAGTTTTTGTCGATTGCCTGTTTTAATCTTATATCATACCTAATTTAATGGGTTTTGAAGGAAATGAATTTGGATTTAAATGTGTCGAAAGGAACGTATTGATGAAGATTCCTGATCGCTTTACTTGTATAATGTGTTAATTCCTTTCTTTGCTTTAACTGTTTTACAGAGATTTAAGGTGGATTGGGGGGGGGGGGGGGGGTCTTAATTATAATCCATAGAATTTTTTGATAATTTGCAAAATGTAGTTTTTATCATGCCTTTTTCCAAAATATAATAAAAAGTATAATGGGTCACCGGACTTTTTTTCACGCTACAGATTGTGCAAAATCGTCAGATTTTGTATAGATTGTGCATGGAAAACCTAATTTTGTGTGATAAAAAGAAAACAACATCATAGAATTTTAAGATAAAATGTGAGAAGATCGCTCTTATAACATGCTTTCAGATAAGAAAAAGAAAAAAATGGGGTCACGGGACTTGTTTTCTTGCTACATATTAAAATAGGTAAATTCACAATACTTTCTGTTATAAAAATTACTTTATTTGAGTTATCTCCCCTACTATTTGAATTATCTCCCCTTATTTGGCAAAGTTGGAAAAAAAATGAATCAAACAAACATTTTGTGTTTTTTTAGAAAATACAGCCGTAAATATGATAAAACACATTACTTTCTATATTAGCATGAAAAGTCTTACACATGAATTACATGCTACTCTCAAAATTTGCACATTTCGTTAAAGATATAGACCAATTGTTGTCTGCTACTTCAAAATCCAAGGTGGAGGTAGACGCCCCAGCCACCCTAATCACATATATGTAAATCTTTTTTAACAATGAAGAAATATGTTCCTATAATATGAGTCAATCAACAGTCTGTGCAATGTTTATAAGTTATATACATCCATGGCCTGTGTGTGTAAATTTACTTTTTTTCAGCGTTTTTGCCAAAAGATTGAATTATTGCTGAGTTATTTTGCTGAATGTCCAGTGCCAAATATATCATGGTTGTATATTCAGTATGAGATAAAGAATTAACAATAAATCCAGTGGGTATGTTCTGCAGAGTGTATTGACCGGGATTTAAAGGCAGGGTATAGAAACATGGTCAAATAGCTTGACTTCTATATAACTGACAATTAAACCCTCGAAAGAAGGGGCGTCCTTTGATGCATAAATACGTAGTCACATACGGTCGGAATGGTCACCTTAAATCCGATGCCTTGTGTATGGAGAGTGTCACGCTCTCTGCAAGTAAGAAACCGAACCTTTGCAACAACATTCTGATGGGTCTGTTGGTAACCTGTCTCAAGGCAATATTTAGGCCAATATCTAAGATATCCTCTCTTTTCAGTCGCATTGTAACTTTCCGGTTGACCAACTTTGCAAAAGACATGATACCCATTTCTGTCCGCGCTATTCTTCCATAAGCCGATAGGCGTTATGAATATAAAAATTAGCATTTCCATTATTGTTTGGTTCTTTATATGAAAGGTATTTATTGCTATTCTGTCTACGAATCAGCAAGTGGTTAAACACTATGAAAGAAGTATGAATATATTATTTAACATCATTAATAAGATCCTTTCTGTGCGAAAATCGGAACCCTCAGATTTCAAAATTAGATCTTATTTTAATTCAACTTATACAGACGCGGTAATGTTTTTATAAAATATTTGTTACGCTTACCTGTCACCTTCTCTTTTGACAATCGATGTGATGGACGAGGCTAAAAATACACCGAACAATAATATTACCAAGATTTGATTCATGTCGAATTGTATCTATCAAAATGAATTTGGAACCTTTAACATTGTCATATGATAGCACTGATAAGATTTAAGAGGTAAACAGCATTACTCAAGCATTTACAGCAAAACAGCTGTATTAGAATATCTTTTTCGTACCACTTTTGTTCTTTCGATAACATCTTTAATAATAAAGCAATGTTAATGGAAGAAAATATTTTTTTAATAGTGTTGTAGTTGCTGCTGTTGATTATAATTATTATTTCATAATTTTCATTATCTTTTATTACAATCGGTACGATAAATCATAAGGTTATAAGCAAGAAAGGGAAAAACTTGGTTTTTATAAATTGTTAGCTTATGATTTGCTTCGTGTAATTGTCTTGTTGACATGTTATAACAGCTTGATAATTAGAGAATATCATATGGCTTTTTCAATATCACACTAGTATCAACCCGAGACATCAACATAATCCCAAGAAATGTACTCGAGGGATTATATTGGTTGAGGTTTGATACGGTGTGTGATATTGAAAAGGCCATATCATATACATATAAATTCTACCACTGCATCGAGTGTGATACGATATTTATCCACTCGAGACAGTTAAATTTTCAAATTTAAAACGCGAGGCTCGCCGAGCATTATAAATATTTAAAATTTAACTGTCGAGAGTGGATAAATATCGTATTACACGAGATTTGGTGGTGGAATCTGTTTCTCTAATGATTTTCAAACAATATGCAGGCAAACTTATTCCTTCTTTTTGAATGATCTGCAAAAAGATGTGTTCTTTCTATGTGACGTCATCAGGCATGGTCGCCTTTTTTCATGCCGTCACAATAGGAAATTCAGAGGAAAGCAAGAAATTTCGACGTCATTATCGGATTTTAACCAATGAAGAACTGAGATCAAACTAACCACACGTTGATTAAATTTTTTTTATACAATGGGTGCAGAAAGGGATAAATTGACGAAGAATTAGAGAAACTTTATTATATACGTCAAGAAGATGTTTTTCACGTGATAAAGCCTTTGATAACGTGACTGATATCAATGACGTGACGTTATACTAATTAGGAGTGTGATAAAGCTTTTGCAACCGTGACGATATCGATATCATAAAGGATGGCTGATACAGGACGATTGTCATTGATCGTATTACACATACAATTTATCTGTATAAATTTACTACTAAGAATATAATAAAGTCAATCATTTGTACTTAAATCCATATTAAGTTTTACATTAAACTCGTTCAATAGTTCATTATTACATATATCTTAGTTCATAACAATTGATTCATAAATTGATGTTTGTGTCATATAGTCTAATGCGGTCAATCGTTAGTACTTCGTGTTAAAAAATATAGCAATGCCAGTAACATTTAACAAACGAAACAAAATATTAAAATTGAATATTCATAGAGAGCTTTGGTGTCGGTAAAAACGAACACTTGCTACATGACAAGAGAAAAGAAATTAGCTCAGGTAGACAAGTCTAAGTTTTGCCTTCATCATTTGATTTGTATTCTTCATAAATTCGATGCAGTAAATTTCATATGGAACTCTGTGTTGTGTTTATTTACTATTTTTTTTTTTTTTTTTGCTTTTGTTGGTAAATAGATTTGAGAACTAAGTGTATAAAAGGAGGTATTTTTAAAATCGACATTAAAACAGCAAAACAAATTAAAACCAAATTAGATATCTATAAGTCTTTAATTGTGTCCATACAATATGTCACTCTACGAGTCTAGCAGAGTTGTGAATGAATTCAGCAGAGAATACAAAAATCTGCATCAACATTAAATTTCTAATTGAAGACTTTTACTGTCCATGTAATGAGAGAAAAATCTTAATTTAAGTCTTAAGTTTCATGTAAATGAATAACTAAGATTTTAAATCAATGGCTATTATTTTTTCTAAATCTATGATCATAATACATGTATATTTCATATAGATTGAAGAAAAAATTATGAAAGATAAAAGGGCACTGTCTGATTGGGTTATCTTTGCCTTATCTTCTAACGTGGCCGTTTGATTTTCCATTTTAGTTTCACTCAAAAAAAAATGATTTCGTATCGACACTACGTTTTTCTATTTATCGCATTTTTTGTTTATGTGGATGTGACTAAACATGAATTTACAGAAGAACAGTTACAGTTTGTTGCTAATTTGAAGCTGCAAGATTTGCCCAGAGAACTGCAACTCCGCATCAAGAAGACTACTAGGATGGGTGACAACAGGTAGGAGTTTTACTTTATAAATAGTCATAACGTTTTCACGTTTAAAATATTATATCCCATTTTGTTCGACTGCAGTATACTAAAGAGAAGTCGGTATAGTCTATCCAGTGTCTGATTAAAAATGTGTAAAAGCTACCGTACTTAGTTAATCTATTTTGTTTCATAGAACTGTAATGGATCGAAACGTCCCATCTTTTTATGTGATGACCGGATTCATTTTTCCAGTAGAAATCGGTTACTCTCGATATGTAGAGTTAAATAAAACATAAAAAGAATGTAACATAAGCGTGATGTTGTCACAACGTCACGCTGGAAAATTTTTGTTTTTCATGGGTTTTTTTTTCGCACATCACACAAGTTAAATGTTTTAGACAGCAACAACTGAACCAATGACCCCTATAAGTTTCATACCATTAAAATGGAAATTTATGCGGCAATAATATATCATTTTTTTAACAAAATTCTTTGGATGACATTTCGATCGCAATATAAAGTATTAATGACACTTGTTACGACGTGTATTCTATTTATAGCTCTATTTCAAAATGTTTCTACAAATAAAAATCTAAATTACGTATACTTCGCCCTGAAAGTTGGTCCTCAGACGCATTTCAACGATTTCTAAATGCATAAACAATTTCATAGAAATCCACAATACTGCCTAAATTACGTATATAATACTTCGCCTTCAATATTGCTGTTTTTATTGTGTTTGTTTGATATGTATGTATATATGTTTATTGTGTTAATACATGTTGGTCACAAACTGTAAAGTTTATAAGACAATAAAATATTTGATTTGATTTGATTTGAATATTATATCTTTGATTCCTGTTATTTATGATCTATTCGTTTATCTATCTATTTTTTAGTTAGTTAGTTATCTGGGTTTTTTTTTATTATTATATTTTAACAGTCACTGGTGCTGCAAAAATGACCTCGATACCACAGTTAACTACACAACAATAACAAAGACTGAAATGGTTTTCATGAAACAGTCAGTGCAGGTCAAAGTTGGTTCTCAGAGCTGCGGGTTTTTAGGAACTAGGAAATGTGACACATACGACATCCGATATGTGTAAGCCATTCTATATAATTAGTTATTTATATATCATTAATGAAAAACACACACGATTTAAAAATGATTTTATGATCTAAATTTATCAGTTTCTATCTTCGATGCAACTAATACAACTTTGATACACTGCAGTTGTACTACTACTATTATGCAAAATAAAAATGTAGATAAAGGACAAGTAGGATCCACAGAACGGTTCATAAAAGAGAATTATTACAATAAGCTAAATGGGTCCTCTTATTTCTTCTCTAAATAATGTCCGGGAAAATGCATGTAATTCTCTATACTCTGAAGCACTATAATATCCAAACTTCTGTCATTATGAATTCATAACTAGACAAAAAACTGGTCACAAAAGAAATTTTGTACATTACATTATAACTTTTTGGCATATAAGAACTAACTTTATGGAAAGAAACTAATATTGGTCTTGGTATTTGTTTAGAAGTCTTCATACCTTGCATATGAGATATAGGAATACGGATTAACAAAATGAATGTATATATACTCCAAGGGTATATCTATAAATTAATTACACATTATACATTAGCAACTTTGGGTCCAACGATTTAAAAGTGGATAAATTGGCGAAAAGTACATAAAAACAATGTTATATCAACTAAAATCTGCAAGCATTTGTTTTACATTAAATACAATGTCATTGCTGGTGGACTTCCTCCAATAGCCAGCGCTTCGGAGCTGGTATTTATTTTGAAATTTTCAGTTTATTAATAATTATATAATATTATTTAAAATAAGGTTACAACTCTCTCAGACAGAGTTGACTAGGTTGAAGTTGGTTTTTCTATTTCTTTTCTGTTTTTATGATCAAAAAAATGTTAGCACTTGCAGCTGTATTAACTTAGTCTTATCTTAATTCGCTTCAAAGGGGCGCTACCAAACATGGAATATAACTAATCAGATAAGCCTTATAAGCAAACTGGGTTACAAGTGTAAAAAAATCACAATTATGAAATCAAATATAACCTGTAAGTAAGTTTAGAGATCATGGGCACTGGGTCTCATTTTGCATCTGGCGCTTCTCACCCGAAAATTGATTAATTTATAAAAGATTGATAAATTTCGTTAGAAAAAAAGTTTTTAGTTTTATATAAGTATCTGTTATTTTTATATTTCAAAATGTTATAAAACTTGCTTAACTGATTTTATAAAGGGCTAAGCTTTACTTTTGAATATATATTCCAACAAAAGCACCAGACTTAACAAGGGAAGAACAACATCTAATTAAAAACAACAAACATGATTAGCAAAGCAAAATCTACAAAAGTAGCCATGGCAGAAACCTTCTATATATCGACTTAGGTGTAACTGCCCTTAAATGATATTTTGAGCAAATTTAGTGCTTCGGCCTAATATCTTGATAATGATAATAGATAGACTGAGTAGCAAAATTTATCAGGGACAGCAAGACAAAATATTGGCCCACAAAGTTTTCAATCAACAGAAATATTCTCGGTGAATTGCATCAATTTTTTATGAAAAATACCAAGTGAGCGATACAGGTAGTTGAAATAGCTGTTTCGATTTTTTACACCTATAACATCGCACACTTCCTCGAAGTTGATTATACATTGTTTTGTAAATAAATGAATGTTGTTTAAATTTTTAGTGAACAGCCAGTGTACCACATCACAACCCAACTTATACCAAACCATAATATTTGCGAAGACAGGAT